AGTTTGGACTTAGTTCCTAATTGGGTTAATTGTGGGTTTGGCTCAGAGTTAGAGGCCGGTGCGCAGCAGCAGCATTTTTAGGAGGGCTGTTCTTCATCTGAGGTGAGTCTTCTCACTATACTTACCATGAGTGGTGTCCTTGTGTGACTGAGATGTTTTATGTGCTTATTTGTATGTCATGATATTCTGCATTATGTCTCTGTGATTTGTGATTTATGCTGAGTATTGTATTTATGAGCTTATCACTACAAGAATAAACATCTATAGTTACAAAACCTATAGGGACGGCATATTGTCGCTATAGAGTTGACCTAGAATTTTTGACTTTGTAAGCTAAAGTGACGACAAATCGTCTCCAGTGTTAAAGCGGGAATGAAAAAAAGTTGGCGGGATTCCAAAAACCTATAGAGACGACATATTGTCCCAAAAATAAATTAAATTAAATATATATACATATTTTTTAATTTGTTTAAATAGAAATTGAGGGCGACGTCATTTTGCTTGAGGCAATAGGGACGACAAGTCATCCCTATAGGGTTTTATGCTCTCTGAAATTGGAAGAATCTCCCTTTCTCATTAATTGATCGATGCTCCTCTTTTGGCTGACGCTCTCTCAGGAGACAATTTGCTTCTCGACGGGCAGCACAGTGACAACCAGGTAACCGTCAGCCTCCACAATGAACACCATCTTCGCTACAACGTTGGTCCAATGTTTCCTTCTCTCGATCGCAACGCCCTCTTCACATTTCTCTCTCTTTCGATCACAAGTTATCTTCTTTTTGACTACCTCAGAGAAGACCAGTTTCATTGTCGGCCTCTACCCCTTCGCTTCCGGCGATCTCCTAGTTCCTTCTATTGCTTCCAGCGACCTTATTCCCCTGAGATTGCAGTTCTCTCTCCACCTCCCATTTTCTTCAATAGGTCTGTCTTCTGATTTTGTGATGTATAATTATGTGATTTTGTGAGGCAATAGGGACGACAAGTCGTCCCTATAGGGTTTTATGCTCTCTGAAATTGGAAGAATCTCCTTTTCTCATTAATTGATCGATGCTCCTCTTTTGGCTGACACTCTCTCAGGAGACAATTTGCTTCTCGACGGGTAGCACAGTGACAACCAGGTAACCGTCGGCCTCCACAATGAACACCATCTTCGCTACAACGTTGGTCCAGTGTTTCTTTCTCTCGATCGCAACGCCCTCTTCACATTTCTCTCTCTTTCGATCACAAGTTATCTTCTTTTTGACTACCTCAGAGAAGACCAGTTTCATTGTCGGCCTCTACCCCTTCGCTTCCGGCGACCTCCTGGTTCCTTCTATTGCTTCCGGCGACCTCATTCCCCTGAGATTGCAGTTCTCTCTCCACCTCCCATTTTCTTCAGTAGGTTTATCTTCTGATTTTGTGATGTATAATTGTGTGTTTTTGTTAATATTTTGTCTGGATATGTTTGAAACTTTATGGAACTATAGGAATCTGTTTAGGGTTATGTTTAAGGTTACTAATTTGTGATGTGAACGTTTGTTTTTGTATGATTTTGTTAAAAAAATAATGCTTTAACTGTAGCCTTTGAACGCTACAATGCATACTTGAACTCTTTTGGAGCAAATGAGAGGTATATGCGGAAAAAATTTGAGAACGAGCTGAGAATGAAACTTATTCATCTCAAAATTTGATGCAGTGATCTTGGTGGTAATTGGGGAAGGGTATTGCATCTCTCTATCTCTCTCTATTTTTCTCTCTAACAAAACATTATTGTAGTATTTGGTATGATGGAATAAGGGATGGAATGGAATGGTTCGTTCCCATTCCATTGGGAAATTGTTATTGAAACTATGCTATTATGTAATTGCAGGTGATAGTTCTGGGAACTTTTGGACTTTCTGGTTCATACATCGAGCACAGAGCATAAATCTGGTTCATAACTCACCTTTTTATCCTTACTATTATTGTTTCTACAAATGTTGTTTTGGTTGGATTTTGTTATCTGCTCATCAACTAAATAATAATGGAAGAATCATTGTGTTAGAACTAGTTTTATTTATTTATTTATTATTGAACTTATTGTTTAGTTATTTTGTGAAAGAAAAATAACAGCACTGGTAATCAATTAATCCTGTAGAAATCTTCTTGGAGAAGATTTGACCTCATTAAACACTAAGGAGCTGGAGCAACTTGAGCACCAACTGGAGATGTCTTTGAGCAAGATCAGATCAACGAAGGTACAAACTTAGGCTATCCTAGTCGTTCTTTTTTCATTAAAGTCACATATTTATAGGAATCCGTCGGTAAGGAGTTAGGGTAAAATATACATGGTTGGTGGGAGAAATAACAAATAAAGTAGTCATTCATTTATTTGTGTTTGATTTAATGGTATTGTTCTTTGTCAAGTAGCTGACACACAAACATATGTATGCTATATTTTTCTCTTTCCTAGAGTACATTGGGTGTTTCCCCTAGAGTACATTGCCTTTTCAGAATCGAGGTGGGATTTTATGCTGCTATGATGCTAATTTCACTGTTGTGTTCTTTATTGATTCCTAATTTCTTGAGTTTTCCACTGTTTCAAATGCTTCTAGATTATTTTTCCCTTGGGTGTTTATATTTTGTTTGGATGGTGTTGCTTTTGGTTCCTGTGACTATGACTGTTTGATTATATTTTTTTATAGGTAGCAATTCTGATTTGTGACATTGGGTTTATGTTTGACAGGTACAATTAACCTGATCTTTCTTTAAACCAACAGGAAACCTGCTACTTGTTTTGATCGAGGAAGAATATGGAAACCCGCTAAACATTTCATTAGATATTGTTTTGATTATGAACTCTAGTTTGTTTTGTATTAAACATCTAAAAAGTTTCAAATGACATTGTATTTGGTAAATGATCGATAATGTAAGATATTTTAAAGTTTTGGATTATAGATATGTGAAATGTTTTAGATTTAAATTTACTGGTTTTGTTTTATTGTATACAAAAATTTTATTGTATATAAAAATCCTGAGAAATTAAACAAATCACAGGGGCATAAATTAAACAAATGACAGGGGCATGGCTAAAACCTGTAAAATATGTGCAGAACCTATAGGGACGACTTATCGTCTCTATAGGGATATGTATGGCGACAAGAAGTCATTGATATAGGTTTACGTACAGTGAAAACAAGTCGTCGCTATAGGGTTGGCTATGGCGACAAACGCTATGGCGACGACAACATGATCTAAAGCGACGAACCTATGGCGACGACATGTCGTCTCAGGGGTCTACAGGGACGAATTTTGCACCCTATGGTGACGACTTTCGTCGGCCCCATAGGTCTTTAATCTTGTAGTGTATTGAGTTAGGAACGGAGGGTCCACCTGAGTTCTGGGACCGGAGGGTTCCACTGAGACACATTGACCGGAGGGTCTTATCTGAGTATAGCCATGAGAGGCTACTGAGATGTGTGTGTTATTTTTGGGGAACTCACTAAGCTTCGTGCTTACCGTGTTATGTGTTATGTGTTTTAAGTTTTTCTCAGGATTACGGGAAGACAACGGCTCGATTGTACACACCGGAGAAAGAGTTATGTTTTGAGGATCCTGGACTATTAATCAAACAATTATGGAGATGTGTTTTGTAAACTAAATAAATGAGATTTTGTGAAATGCGTTATGAGAATTATATGATTTTTAAAATGAAAAATTTTGTTTGGAAATTTACGGTGTTACAAGTTGGTATCAAAGCCTTGGTTTGAGGGATTCGGATGCACATTCGGGTATATCTGGACTCAAACTGAGGATTTGAGAAAAGTTTTCAAAAGAAATGGTTTTTCTAAAATGAGCAAGAGTTATAAGATAAAAATGAGAAGGAGCAGTGTGTACAATCAGCCAGAGCCCGAACGGTGATTTCCCAAAATACCCTTACTTATTTATGTTATAAGTTATTATTGAGATATTAGTGATGCATGCTAGAAGATAGGCTAGATATTTCATATTCTAGGGCTAGAGTTGCCTGATTTGTGATGCCTTAGCCTAGGAATTTTGCTATCTCTGATGTGCTTTGAGTATGTGTTGAGTAAGAGTATCCAGCGGGAATTTTTCAGAGAGAACTTTAAGTAGAGGTGTAATCTAGGTGAGATGCCTAGATGAGTATTGGAGGGGCCTACTGAGAGAGTAGTTAAATATCCGCGAGGGGGTAGGGTTGCTTGAGTTCGGTGATACCTTTGAGAGTATGGAGTGGTAACCTAGAGTGGTTTTATGTGTTTGTAGAGAGTATTCGATGCCCGAATGCTGCTTGCTTCGTGCTTTGTGGAACTCTTGATGATGGGAGTCAGCTACTAAGTGAATATGACGATATTCAGGAGGTAGATGGCTGGCATCATAAGGAGTTCTTCAGCAGCTGATGGCAGAGAAGTGAGGGAACCTAGGAAGAGCCTGGGGGTGGCCTTAGTCAGACTAGTACGCTGATAGAAGAGAGTATTTGCTGGGAAGCGACCAGGTTTAGCGGGATTGGTGATCGAGAAGGTTGAGGAGATACTTAGGAATTCTGGGACGATCCGTGTGGAAAGTACGGGTAGATGTGGCAGGTAGTATGGGTCCGTACTACTGAAAGCAGAGGACCCGTACTCGAAACATGGAGAATAACAGAGGTTCTAAGTAGCAGATTGAGAGGAGATAACATGGTTCGGGTACCATGATTCATAGCAGATTGAGGGGTGATCACATGGTTCGAGTACCATGATTCGTGGCGGTTAGTGCTTATGGTTTTACCAGTTGTTCCATGGTGGTTGATTAGTCTGAGATCAGGTGATAGAGTGTGGGGCCAGAGGGCCATGTCGAGCAAGTTTTAATGAAGTGTACCTTGAAAAGGAAATTGATTTCGTTTCCGAGAAATTTTATTGGTGAGATGCCAGTTGGAGCCGCAAGGCTCAGGGATGAGTAGAGATGATGCTTTTTGGAAGAACATGGTTTGATTCGAGCCATCAGCTGGTGGATGAGACATCACTTTCTGTGACAAGAGTTTCGTTGTTCCCGTTTCCTGGGAGAAGCAAAGGAGATATCGAGTTTCCGATTTCAGAGTTTGGAGGTAAACCCCGTGGGGTAGCGTTGGTGGTGACCTTTTCATCAGAGTATTTGGGCAGTTTGTCTGCTGTGAGGTATTTCTTGTACCATGGAGTCATTAGTAAAAGCTGTGATGGAAGAGACCCATGAAGGTGCCTTTTTGAGTGTGGCATGCTTTTAGCAGCAGTTTCAGGTGGTTAAGAGGAATATGTCGGGGTGGTGGCCCTCGTTATTGATGAGTTTTGAGCATTCTAACACTTCCTAAGTGTACATGCAACCCTAATAACCTTGGATCTATG